TATATATATATATATATATATATATATATATATATATATATATATATATATATATATATATATATATATATATATATATATATATATATATATATATATATATATATATATATATATATATATATATATATATATATATATGTATATATATATATATGTATATATATATATATATATATATATATATATATATATATATATATGTATATATATATATATATATATATATATATATATATATATATATATATATATATATATATGTATATATATATATATATATATATATATATATATATATATATATATATATATATATATATATATATATATATATATATATATATATATCATTTGTTTATCTTACTAAGAAAAATTGTTTTAAATGCTTTAAACTTTTCAAACTACGCGAAGAATAAAACAGTTATTGAAAAACTTTTTTATTAATAAATAAATCACCTAGCGTTAGTTTTATTGGTGGAATTTTGTTGGACTTTTTAGGGCTAGGGACTGCATTATTTTGGCGGCCTTTTTTAAGTGCCACAGCGTAAAAATGACTGAAAAAAATACAGAATGGTCCTCTTGACTATTTCGGGCCCATAACATTGTGAGTCCCGAGGCTATAGTCCTTCTAATCCCCCCCCACCTCCCATCTCCCCAATCCAGCACTGTAAATAAGACATAAGTATATAAATAAAAATTATATATACTCTTTGATAAATCAGAGAGCATTTGTTACCTTATTTAACAATCATTAATAGTAAGTTGTTACTTTATATAAAAAATGTGACTTAGTTTTATAAAAAAAAATTATAAAAAAATGACATTTCAAATATATTTATTTATTTATTTTATTTACTTATATTTAAATATTTATTTATTTAATTACGTATTTATTTTGCCTAAAATTTTTTCGCGTTAAAAGCTATTTTTCTTTTTTTAACTGTCTCTCATCGATCCAGTTAATTTTTTTGTATTTTTTTGTTTGTTTCTGAAATGTCCTCAAAACAACTAAAAAATCTGACCGGTTTTTCGCAACTAAATATTATTTCCGTGGTCAATTATCGAGTGCAATCGCACCCGCTTCCCGACCAAGCCTATATATATATATATATATATATATATATATATATATATATATATATATATATTATATATATATATATATATATATATATATATATACATATATATATATATATATATATATATATATATATATATATATATATATATATATATATATATATACATATATATATATATGTATTATATATATATATATATATATATATATATATATATATATATATATATATATATATATATATATATATATATATATATATATATATTACAATTAGGCTTTATTTTAAATAAAAACTGCTTAGCACATTAGCTTATAATTTTGACGTCATAAAACTATCTTATTTTTTTTAATTTTATTTACAGACATTTACTTTTAAAACTATTGCAATAAAATAAATTAACATAAAAGAAGTTTAATTTATTAAAAAAACAATAGATATTGTGAAATGTCAATTTGCTTAAATTTTTTTTATTTTTTAACATTAAATAACAAAATTTAATAATTAATAATTTAATAATTTTTTATTATCATTTGATATAAATTAATTACTTTCTTTTTTTGTATAATTATTTTAATTCATTTATATAAATACGAAAGTATTTTATAAAATATTTTTGTATTTGTATAAATGAATTATAATATTTTACTTTTTTTTCATTATATTTTAGCAGTTTTGCAAATAATAATGATTTTTTACTTTTAAAAGTTTTAAACAAACAAAAAATATTTTATGTTATAAAAAAAAAAAAAAAAAAAATGAAAAAAAGAAAAGAAACTCAAGTTAATTATTTTACCAAGGCTTCTTTTTGTGACAAAGATTTAAGTTCCTAAGTACAATTTATTAAAAAATAAATACTGTTGCACTTTCACTTGCCTTAGGGCAAAAAAGTTAAAAGTTTTATAAAAGTTTTTGATGCAGTGTTATATATTGTTTAAAAGGAATGTCATTTTTTGTAAAAAATAGAGGAACAAAAACCAAAAAAAAAATTACAATAAAAATAATCTAATTTTCTTTTTAAGAAAAATTAAATTTAAGTTATGGTAATCGTAATAATTAAATAAATACAAAATTTCTTCCATGGATAACTCTATTATTAATGTTTTGATACAATATATCAAGGAAGTTTTTATCTATTAAATTTATCGAAGAATGTTATCAAGTATTTATAGTATATCAAGTATATTCTTGATTTCTAAAATCTCTCTAAATATTATTCTGGAAAAATAAGTTTTATCCATAGAAAATTTTTTATATTTAATTATTAAAAAATAGATTCTTTATAAGATATAGTTATAAGTTTGTAATAATTATCGTTTTTTCACTTTTTTGATAAAATCAATCATTCTAATAAAACAAATGAAAAAGTTTTAAATATCAAAAATGGTGTGATTATAAAATAAAACTTGTGTAATATTTTTTAGCTAATGATGTTTCGTTTTTTATTTATTTAAAAAGGATAAGCAATTACTTTTGTTATTGTTTGTTATGAAAAATAGTCTAAATATTTATTCTTGCTCTTGAAAGATGACAAATAAAAGTTATTTTTATTATATTTCTTTTATGACTCTTATTTTACACACACACACACACACACACAAATATATATATATATATATATATATATATATATATATATATATATACATATATATATATATATATATATATATATATATATATATATATATATATATATATATATATATATATATATATATATATATATGTATATATATATATATATGTATATATATATATATATATATATATATATATATATATATATATATATATATATATATATATATATATATATATATATATATATATTAAGTTTCCATTTAGACTAGGTTTCATTTTTGAAAAAATAAAAATGTTGATACAAAATGATAGCATAAAAAAAAAATTCAGAGAAATATTTTTTATAAAAATCAGACCCAATATTAAATTAATATTTGTTTGAAATTTGTAAATGGAACAACTCAAATATAATCTTGTTTGTATAATATATGAAGATGACAATTATCTATTATTATATATTGTTATTAATTAGTAATATGCTTGCCTGTTTTTCATTTACCAATTTAATTGCTGCAAGGTCTGATACTGGATCAACATCAATAATTACACCATTATATGTTTCACCAGTAGAAAGGTGAATTTTTACTGTCGGAGAACCTTTTAATGATGCATTTTTAACAACATGTGCATTCGATAAAACTATTCCGTCTTCTGTAACAAAAAATCCTGAACCTACACTACTAATTTGACCATTCCAATGTTTTCCCACAACTTCAATACGAACTACACTTGGAGCTGCAATATCTACTGCATCTGCAATAAAATTAAAGCTGTTACGTTTAATATTTTCATCTTTTTCCATGGCAACTGCGACAGGAGTTATAATACGTTTGAGATTTACAGCACACTGAGGCATTTTAAAATTTGTATTTGCCCCCAAAAAAAAGCCTCCAACAAAACTTGGAATAATTACTCGCAAAGTATTATTATGGTATGAAAGATATCTACCAATGAACTTTACATTTCGAACAACTTTCTGCCATGTCATGTCTAGTAAAAAAAACAATAATATAAAAAGAAAACTATCCAGAAAAAAATTATATGTTTATTTGGTCTATAATTAATGTTGAAAACTTCTTGGTATACTTTTTCAGCAATTCGTGTTCAATAAATATCAATCTTTAGATCATCTTTTATCCTCCCCTCCCTCAAATAAAACATCTAAAAAAAATTTTAATAAGCATTTTACATACGCAATTTCAAATTTTTGAATTAACTTATGTTATTGTATTTTTTAATTTTATACGCCGTGGATAGCCTACCGAAAGTCGGTAGCCAAAAAAAAAAATCTTTTCCTACCGAAAGTCCCTCTCATTGGTTAAGAATGTCACGTGTCAAAATCAACTAAAAACGGGCTTTCGGTAGAATAAGTAATTTTAAAAGCCTCCCGACTGTCGGTAGCCAAAAAAAAAAAAAATATCTTACCGAAAGTCCGTTTTATTGGCTAAGAATGTCACGTGTCAAATTGAGTTTATTCATTAATATAAGAAAACGCGCTTTCGGTAGTTTAAGTGATACAAATATAGGTATAGTCAGTAATATAATATGTATATTTCTACCAAATAAATATTTTTACTACAGGTTCACAGATTTACAAGATTTAGTAATTAATTTTTATAAATTAGAGGTTTTGCACATGGTAAGCGTGATGCATATTTCCGTTTTTACAACCTTTTATTCAAACTCATGTGTTTTTTGTTCGGTATAAGTTGTAAAACGACGTAGAATCTTGCATTTGATTTTTCATAATCTTCCAGTTTAGCTAGAAAACTTTGAAAATGTTGTAATTTTGTTTCCTCATACATATAATTAAACACAAATTTTAATTAATCAACTTATTTTGAATGACGTGAAGGGAATTTTCAGTTGAAAACCAATAGATAATTGCAACATTATTGATACGGGACTTTTGAAATAAAAATATACTGCATTCATGAAACACTGTTTAAATTAAAACATTAAACCCAACTACAAAATGCCATTTCGGTTTCAAATTTATTCTTTAACTTGAGGCTAAGAATTAAAATAAGGGTAATATGCTTGCAATGGTGACATTATTTTTTAGATAACTGGTAATTTTTAAATATACGATCGGTGTATGTTGGCAAAACTAAAAAATACAGTTGGTGTTCTTTACTGAGCTTATCAATAAATTTAGATTTAGATAAATTAAATTTAGACTGATCATTTTGCTGACTTTTCAATTTATCGTAATATATATAGTTTCATACAACGCCGTGAATAGAAGGTTGGAGCCCCTCCCCCCCAAAAAAAAAACAAAAAAAAAACGGTCGTAGGGACCCCAAATTTCGGCCTTGGTTTCATATATAAGTATGAATATGATATAGTAATATGATTAGAATTTTACTCGTATTTTAAATAATTTACTAAAAATATTGCCTTGGTTTTTGGTTCATAAGTTACAAAAGTTTGAAACTCATGTAACTTATTTAACGAAATGCACCACGAGAAGGTTAACCATAGGACTTTGCATTTCATATATTTTGATTAAGGAAAAAAAACACTTTCAGAAGGCAAAAAAAAGGTAATAAAAACTAGTCAATGATTAAAAAAAAGATTTTAACTTTTGTAAAAACTGATTTACTTTTTCATTCACTAATAACTAAGGTTGTTTCCTATTTACTTCTGAATGACTGTTTGGTTCAATAAATAAAAATCACAAAATACGAGACTGTTTATAAAACTTTTATAAATATTTCTACAGTTTATACTATACTCGGATCTAATTTAAACCACACACACATAAATAACAATCTGTATCTTTTCATCAAGGAAAACAAAAACACAGTCAGGAGGTAAGAAAAACAAGAAAAAAAAAACTAGTCAATAAATTAAAAAAGATTCTAATTTTTGTAAAAGCTAATTTATTATTTACTAATAGCTAAGGTTGATTCCTATTTAGTCTGATTGACTGTTTGGTTCAACAACTAAATAAAAAAATATTCATAATATACGAGACTGTTTATAAAACGTCCATAAATATTTCTACAGTTACAATACTTGTAAATAATCAGTTACACTACTTGTAAATTAACAAAGATTCTAATTTTTTTAAAAGCTAATTTTTTATTTACTAATAGCTAAGGTTGATTTCTATTTAATCTGATTGACTGTTTGGTTCAACAACTAAATTAAAAAATAATCATAATATACAAGACTGTTTTATAAATATTTCTACAGTTACAATATTTGTAAATAATCTATACAATATATATAGGAATCTATATAATACTTGCATCTATATAATCTATCTAATGTTATATAAAAAATAAACTAAAATAGTTATAGATAATACTTAAACAATCACCTTGCATAACAAGTGCGACAATACCAAAATTTTGTTTTCAAAAGAGAGTCATCTTTTTGACCTACACACCTTCGGTGTGACCACAAAAGACATGAATCACACGCGATTGCGCTGCCAGTTTTATTCCCTTCACTTGTACTTTTTTGGCATACAGCACAAGGCCAGATGTCTTGTTTTTTTTTAGTATTAATCACTTTGGTGATGGCTTTCCATGCATACGAAGTAAAATATAATTGAATTGATGAAAGCAATCCTAATGCATTTTCATCAAGAATTGACCATGAAACACAATTTGGTCTTCTTTCTATAGCACTTCTATCAATAAGGGTGCCAGAAAGGGCTTTCTGTACATCCTCAGCTTTTAAAAACCAACCGAGCATCACTGTGAGAGAAAAAAAAGATTTTTACTAAAACCGTATAAAAAATGAAAAAATAAGCTTAAGGAAAAAATCAAACTATAGAATAAGGTAAAAAGGTAGAAATGAAATGTATATTACTGCTTAAAACAAAATTTTTTACTTAAACTTAAAAATAAGTTCTAAAAAATATTTGCAATTACTGGATTTTGTTTGTACTTGTTTTGATATTAATAAACAAAAAACTGTAAAATAGTATGAAAATTATATAAAATATATAATTTATAAAATGTAAAACAAATAATTTTAACAAACTAGCATGTCTTTTAGCAAGTTCAAGTTTCACAAAAGGAACCGGACCATTAGAAGAGTGTTGGTGACGTTTTTTAGGAAGACCTATAGTTGTGCGTGTTGCACCTTTCGGACGTCCACATCGAGCAACAACTTGAGGCAACTGTATCTTTTTTAAAAAAGAATCTATAACAAACGTTTGAACATTACAAGACCATGGGTCATGCTTTAATTGCAGATAAAAATTCTTAATTTTATATTTACTTGTAATACCTGCTTCATTTTCCACAGCAAAACAATCTTTTGGGTGTGGTTGTGTTTTATCAACAACAGACTGTTCTGATGCCACTTCTCTGATTAAACTACTCTCTTTCAGAGGGTTTCCAATTAAGTCTTCTATTTTTTCACTGTAAAGTAATTCTTTAACAGTTGATGACGATGTTGGTGTATCCTCAGGTACTCCTGCAATGGAAAAATCTGGAGATAAGAAATTATACCCTATATAGTAACTATATCCTAAAGAGTATCAACACAACACAATAATAGTCTTTATAAAATTTAAAGCAATTTTTTCGACATACTACCATGTTTTTTATTAGAATTAAGTTTCAAAAAAGAAATTGGGACATCAGAAAAGTGTCGATGACGTTTTTTAGGAAAATCTTTAATTGTAAGTGCTGACTTTTTAGGATGTCCACATTGAGAAACACATTGAGGCAACTGAACCTTCTTTAAGCAAGAATCTAAAACAAATTTGTAAATTGCTATAGTTCCATTTTAATCTTATGACTTATCATGAACCATATTGCCATTATTTAATCTTCAATTGCATCAGACTTTTTTTAAATATATTTACCTGTAATACTTGCTTCTTTCTCCACAGCAAAACATTTTTCTAGGTGTCGTTGTGTTTCATTAACAACAGATTGTTCTGATGCCACTTCTCTGATTAAACTATCCTCTTTCAGAGGGTTTCCAATTATATCTTCTATTTTTTCACTGTAAAGTAATTCTTTAACAGTTGATGATGATGTTGGTGTATGCTCAGGTACTCTAGGAATGAAAAAATCTGGAGATAAGAAATTATCAGATATCCTCAAGTCTATCTCTTCAAGCTCATTTACAACCATATTCTTTCCCTGTTCCCAACCCTTTTGCAATGCTTTAAGAAGATTCATTCGCTGTTCAAAAGCATGTCCTGTAGACTCTGATACTAGAGTTGCTATAGATGAAGTTGCTTGAAGAGCAAGTTTAAATTTTTCATGCTGAGAAAGTTTTTTTTTTTTTGGAGCTACATGAAACGCTATACAAGATTCTTCAGTTGTGGCAGGTGTACTAAAAACTCGCTGATGCTGGCGATAATAATTCCTGGTCCACCTTTCTCGACATAGCTCAGCATCAAACAGATTTATTTCTTGCAACTGGCGAACAGCAAAGATATGGCGACATGGCAGACTCATAAATTTGCGAAACATACAATCACACGAGTTAGAAGTAACTTTAAGTAGACCTTCACTGCTATTAACAACATAACTTTGGTTCTCAGCTGATAAAACATTGACTTTGCAACACAAGGTAATTTGTTTTAGTACTTGATAGAATGCATACGATGTAAGAATATTCCTATAACCTGCCTCAGCAGAATTAGAATCAAATAGATCAACACAAATTTTCTGCATTTGAAAAATAGTTTTATGGTTTCTTTCATTCCGCATTGAGGTTAACAAAACATAAAACATATCAAGGAAGTTTTCAAAAGTACTATTAGAGTCAATAACCTCCTTGAGTTTTCCGTTGAAATTTTCTAAGCGATTATTAGTTGTGTTCATAAAATTTGAGCAAGCATGATTTAATCCTAAAACCCACTCATTACGTATATTGTGCCAATTTTTGTTAAAATATTCCAACACTGGGGTTGGTGCTGAAGAAATAAATATTTCATAAATTTCATTATATTGCTCCTCTGATTTTGCATAAGCTAATTTGTGAACTTGCTTAAGACACGATATTCGTTGCCCACTTGTTATACCAAGCTTAATAGTAGTAATTTCACGATTAAAAGACCTATAGATACAAAAATATAAAAATATAAATTTGAATGCACAAGATGTAAAACTAGACTACTCACCATTTAAAGACAAGAATGATCATGCACTATTGGAGGGATAAATAAAATAAAGTTAAATAAATTGCTACAATAAAAAGTAATGTGATTTTAATGTGCATCAATAATTTGTCAATAATTAGCTTTGTTAATTATTGAGAAAAGTCACACGTTGCATACTTTTATTATTATAATGTTTTGTATAACGATCTTAAAAATACAATTTGTGACAAGAGTCACAAATTGTATTTTTAAATGCTATATATAGCAAACAATTTTTTTGTAAAAACGTTTGTTCTTATTACAAAAATGCCATATTGCTAGTGGATGCCTTAAATATTGGACTAAAGTACAAGGATTTACTTTTGAAAACTGTTTTCTCAGTAGAAAACAAAGAATGCATGCTTGCACAGTGTGATAATTGTCCTGATAAAGAGCCCCTCACCAAATATATGTATAAGATTTTTGGAGAAAAGAAGATAACTTTGAAATACACTACAAGCAATGGCAAACTACTGATCATGCAACACTATTGAGTTTAACAGCAGATCTTCCAATGTTGGTGGAACTATTTGCATCTTGCTTTGAAAAGCTACAAGCTCATTCTTATAATGCTCACTCTCAATCACAGTACCAACTAAAACAAAATATGGATCAATCAAACATTATCATTATTGGCGACTTTGCTAAAAATTATGCTTTTAAAGTTTAAGATGAAATATAGAGCTATCATTGAAACACCCAACAATGATTTTTACAACCCTCAGTGATATACTATAAAGATGATAAAGGTGTACTAAAACATATTTTTTTACTGTTTTATATCAGGCAACATTTCACATGATGTAACTTATGTGTATAAAATATTCTTACTAATCATACCAATATTAAAAGCAAAATTTTCCAAGCTGTCTAAATTAAATTTACTCATTGATAGTTGCGCAGGACAGTACAAAAATTGTAAAAGCTTTTACAATCAATGCCAACTAGAGAGCGAGTTTTTCTCTCAAAGTTGAATGGCCATGTGCCACAGAAAGTCACCATACCGCCAATCCTAGGCAGTACTTAAAAAAAGCTAACAGCGCAAGAAAGAAAAGTTTTTAAGTTCTTAGAAATTGGTTTACTAACTTCAATTATTTTTGCTTCAGCCAATCTTACAAACTCGTTATACTTAAAGTTACTTTTTTCTGTTTTAAATACTAATTAAAATTATAAAGCCCACTCACTAAACATCATCAGCGTTATTGTGAAACAGTTCCGCTTCCTCCTCACAAAGTAATTTAACGTTTTTAGTTAATTTCTATCTAGCTAATTGAATTTCTACAGTAACTTAGTGATTTAATTATTTCATTTTTTCATCTTACTAAGAACAAATGTTTAAACTATGTTAAACTTTTTAAACTACGCAAAGCATAAAATATTTATTAAAAAAACTTTTTTATTTATAAATAAATCTCTTAACTATTTTTAACTCTTAACTAACTTCTCTTGACTATTTCCCCTGACATTGTGAGTCCCGGGGCTTTAGCCCTACTACCCCCACCCTTCTCAATCCGCAACTGGAAATTAGACATAAGTATAAAAATAAAAATTATATAAACTCTTTGATAAATCGAAGAACATTTGTTTCTTTATACTTGTTACTTTATATAGAAAATGTCGCTTAATTTTATAAAAAAAGTTACAAAAGAGCGATGTTTCAAAAATAATTGCTCTAATCGTATTTATTTTGCTTAAAGTTTTTTCGCTTTAAAAGCTATTTTTCTTTTTTTAACAGTCTCTCATCGGTCCAGTTAATCTTATTGCGCTTTTTTGTTTGTTTTTGAAATGTTCTCAAAACGTGTTAAAAAACCTGGCCGGTTTTTCGCAACTAAATATTATTTCTGTGGTCAATTTTCAAGTGCGATCACACCCGCTTCCGGACCAAGCCTGAAGATATACTTTGTTTTTATTTATTTTTCAGATTTTCAGATAAAATTTCCCTAAAAATGAACTCCTCTTACTTTTCCCCTTAATATATATATATATGTATATAAATATATTTATATGTATATAAATATATATATATGTATATAAATATATATATATGTATATAAATATATATATATGTATATAAATATATATATATGTATATAAATATATATATATATATATATATATATATATATATATATATATATATATATATATATATATATATATATATATATATATATATATATATGAATATATATATATATATATATACATATACATATATATACATACATATATATAATAATATGTATGTATATATATATGTATATAAATATATATATATATATACATATATATACATATATATATATATATATATATATATATATATATATATACATATATATATATATATATATGTATATATATATATATATATATATATATATATATATATATATATATATATATATATATATATATATATATATATATATATATATATATATACATATATATATACATATTATTAGCTTACTTTACCTAAGAGTGTGAAATAAGCAGAGTAACAGAGTTGCATCTGGAAAAGAAGCACGTAGTACACCTCTTTCTGTCATGTCTTTGTCTGTCATGATAACATTAGTCTTAGACCGCGAAACATTGTTTCTTTGAAATGATTCCACAAACCAACTAAAAGTAATAAAAAAGAGTTTTATATTATAATAAAAAACTTTTTATATGCTAATCATATAACTTAAAAAAGTAAAAGAAAGAAGTATCATCATCATAAACATTCCTGGAGGATTCCACAGTCCTGCAGAGTGTATTCCCTGGTTGTAATAAGACTATAAGGATTGCAGCTTTAGGTACCAGGATTGTTTTTTCAAATCACTATAGTATAAGTCATTATAGTATAGTAAATATTATACACATTTTTTGGGAATATTTATTCCTACATTACTAATGCATGTATCAGTAATGTATTATACATACATTATTAATGCATGTATTATATGCCTACACAAATCAAAACTCAATGATTCTGCATCTTCATTTTTAAGTAAAGCTACAGCAGCTACCTCACTTTCACCTATATAATAACATAAATATTAGTTTCTAAAAAGGTAATATACATACGAAATACAAATACACTAATTTATTTCAGAAAAAAAAAATTAACAATTTTGCAAAATATATTTAAAGTCATTTTGTAACCAAACACAAAATACATAAAGCAATATATTAACCAGCACTATCTCCACAAATTATTATATAGACAGGCATTCGAGTTTCTAATAGCTTATATGTTGCATCCATACATATAAACTCAGGATATGCATTGAATGCATTATGCATGTCGAGATCTTGAAAAAAAATTCCTTTTAAAATCCCTTCTGGATCTGTTGAAACTTCAACATGTGCATCTGAAAATATATTTTAATTAAATATTTTAATTAAATTATACTTTTATGTAAAAGAATAATAAGTTTTTCTTCTTTCCTAGTACAAAGCATAAAATACATTTTTCAAAAATGTATTTTTCTCTCTATTTCTAGCACGCAAAAAAAAAGAGACAACTTTTGATCAACTATAGTTCTATTGTAATAACAAAACTTTTAATAGAAACTGCTTGAATAAAAAAAAAAAAATTAATGCTATATTTGTCAAATAAAAATTATTTTTAGCGTAATGGGCAAGCGGCAGTTTTCCGAAATTGGACCTCCACCTTATGCTAGTAATTTTTTTAAATGTGTCTTAAAATATTGTCTGGATACATATCACTGTCCACTAAAGTGTACCAAAAACATTCCTTTTTTTTCTTCAGGATACCTCTTAATTTTTTGCCATTCTCTGAAGTCCATTGAGGCTAAAAATTCTGTAAAGTCCACTGAGGCTATTAACAACCAAAAAACAAAATCAGTTATCAAAAAGTGATTTCTAAAAAAAATAACCTTTTGAAAATGATGTTTTGGTGTCAATGTTATTTAATTTTCTAGGACATTTTTCTTATTTTCTTGTTGTTTTTTTAAACATTTATTGATAAATAGTAAAGTGAATAATATTATTAATGGTGTAATGCATGCTTTTATTTTATATGAATATTGAGTTTTTGAAACAGGCTCAAGAGGGCATTGACCACAGAGATAATATGGAGCCTTCCATTGTTAGCTAAATTATATTATCAATTGCTTTTTTTTTTTTGGGAGGGGGAGAGTACATTTAGTTTAAAAATGGCACATTTAAATTTCTGTTTCATATGGGGAAACCAAAACTAACAGTTATTAGCAGGTCAATAGAGCTTACTGAGCAGGGTTTCTATAGATTGTGATTCATGCTTATAAGAGCTTACTAAGCTGGTAGGAACTTACTGACATGGTAGGATAGCTGAGATTTATGTTGGATAGTTAAAACGGCGGAAAATGACTGTTATTTTACATAGACTATGAGGTTCTTTATTATGTTGCCCAATCAATAGAGACTATTGATTGGGCAACATAATAAAGAACCTCATAGTGGTCACTAAAGAATAACTTCTTAAAATAGAAATAAATATTTTTAAAAGACTTTCATTTTTCACAAAAAATTGCACTTTTTTTTTGAAAAATGAAATTTTACAGCTATCACTTTGTCTGGAAAAAAAAGTTTTTTTTTGGTAATTTTACCCTATTTGGACCTTTGAGAAAAAATTGAGAGGTATTGCTTTTTTTTTGGTACACCCAACTGCCCCTAGAAAACATTTTTAGCCTTTCAGCATTTACTTTAACCTATATTTTATGAATATCTTCAGCTATATTTTAAGACTATCTGCATTCTAGGTGTATTAAATTTAAAAAGAACGATTCAAAATCCTATTTAAACTATTTGAGTTAGACATATGACTCTAAGAGAAAAAAAAAGAAGTCTTAGACTGATTAGATTAGGGATAGTGACTGCATCTGGACAATTAGGACCAAAATTGAGAACAACAACAAGAACAACAAGTATTTATTAATATGCTTATAGATTTATAGTAAACAATATAATAGCAATAACTGTACAAAGGTATTTTAAATACTACTTACTATATTTTTCTTTTAAAGTTGTCACAAATGATGTGATATCATTCCGACTATCATTTTTGTGAGAAGAAGCAGCAATATTTGATATATCTCTAAGAGTTATAACTTTGCCTGTGGAACTAATTAATTCTTTTTGCAGCAGCTTTTTGTTTGGCTTTAAATTCATTAACTCTTTAGCTTTATGAATAGCATAATCTGGAAGCTTTCGTTGATTAGGCAGGTGCTTATAGAGAATCTGATGGATTTTAAAAAGAAAAACAACAAAAATCAAAGTGGTTCATCTGAGATAAATACAATCAAGTAATATGGAAAAGTATGAGAAAATAAATAAACTTATAACTTACTTCAGAAACTTCATGATTGTGATTATTATCCATATCTTGCAAAACTAATGATTGTCCATCTTCTGATGCTTTAAAATGCAGGTAGAAAGGACAGTCTTTTTTAAAAGTTCTATAACAATTATAATAACATAACATTACTAACTAACATAAAGTAAACATCTAATAGTTGTGATAACATATAATAATAATAAGAATGTTTATTAGCTATTTGATATTTTGTGACTTGATATTTTTCACCGTGACTTTTTTATTTTGTTTTTTGATTTTTTAAATTTTATTATTAATGATTGCCTGCCCTAACTAAAACCTTTTGATATGCATTCACATGTAATGTTGCTTCTCTTTCTCTTTTCTAAAAATACTATAGTTGCTGCTCCATAGAGCTAGCTTCTTATGTGCCATCTACTAAAAATAATTCTTGTGTTTAGAGTTGCAAAAAAACGTTAAAAAAAATATATATATTTTTTGGTTTTTCTGGTGTTGTATTGCTTTTTTTAACAATTTTTTAGTTTTTTTTTCGACATAAATTTTGGAAAAGTTTTCCTTTATTCTGGTATAATTTTAGTATTTGGCCATTTAAGACTTAATCAGATTTATAAACACCAATTTAAAATAAATTTTCAATAAAAAATTTAAATTAGCTTTATGTTAGTTACATATCTAGGCATACTGTATGGAAATGTTTATTTATTTGCTTTGTTGTACTAACATCTGTTATATCATTATATTTATCATTATATATAGAAACTATTCTTATCCTATAAGAAAGATACCATTTTAATTTTGATAATGTTAATATATTAGTATATAATACCATACAAGTTTAATATCAGACTTCAAATGCTCATAAAAAAAAGCAATCTAACGATATTGTTTACTTATTTGAGCATTGGTATATTGTTTAGTAATTAAGTCTTACATTTTTTGTTTGTTATATTTGTCAAAAAAATATATATTGTTAGTAGGCCCTTATAAAAAAAAAGCCCTATACTAAACTTAATTTCAAGGAAAATTTAAATATTTTAAATTATTATTATTATTTACGAATCTGTATTTTTTTTTCTAACTACATGATTTATTTATCTAGACATTTTCATATAGCACTATATCAGAACACTTGCTAAATTCTTTAACATGATTTGTTTTTCAATTTCTATTATTAGACATAATCTTATGGCGAAAGGATTGTTTAACTTTTTCCATTTTGCTATTTTGGTTCAGAGGTTTAAAAAAATGGGTGACTAAAATTTTATTTCTGTCCCCTGTATGGAGAGCCTATTCATAATGTTCTTTATACATATATATACATACATACATACATACATACATACATACATACATACATACATACTTACATACATACATACATACATACATACATACATACATACATACATATATATATATATATATATATATATATATATATATATATATATATATATATATATATATATATATATATATATATATATATATATGTATGTATGTATATACCCTATCGGCACATCTAGTTTCTTTATTCGGAAATAAAACCTATATAGGCACGTGTTTTTCACAATCCAGGCGTAAACCAAAAGCACGTGTATATTACGGGCAGTTTTACTAGAGTTTAACACGTGTTTTTTGAGGTTTTAAAGTCAAATTTAAATGTCGCATATTTTTATCAGTGGTTTTACATTCCTTACGGAAAGTTATTAAAATATAATACTACGTTTCCATAACGGTGAAACCATTAATACTTTAACTGGTATTTATGGTAAATAGTAATAGTTAATTTCACGGAATAAAAACCATTTAGGATACGTGTTATTCTTTTTGTTTTTGAAGGTTTTAAAAACGCAACAGAAACCAAGCGTAACTATTTTCTGAGTTGTGCCGTCTGGGTAAAGATATTATGGTGTTTAAAAACCATAAAAACCTTTTAGTGGGGGGAATAAAAGTAAATATTTAGCGAAAGAGTTCAAATTGTGATACCAGCTTGAAACTTTCAGGAAGTTGTCTATGAATTAAAAGAATACAAAAAAAAAAAGACCCCATTCTGAAAATATTTTTTTGGTCCTGGGGCGACCCCCAACTGAGTTGACTGTAAAACTATAAAATCTTCTGAACCAATTATATAAGGTTGCATTAAGCAGAATGTTAAGAAACAATAAACAACTATACCACATTACTAATTAAAATATGATTAAAAGCATAAAAAAAGTTTTATTTATATATTTCAGAGTAATGGAACTAATTTTTTTTAAAACTTGTTAACAAAAATGAGGTTTGTTCATTTTATTCAAAACACTGACCAGAACACTCGCATAGGTCTATACAGGATAATCCTAAACATTTGCATTTGTATTGTGTTCCGCAACTTTTCTTGCATCTACATTTTATTAACTCGATGCATGATTTTGATGCCTCAGGTAGAGTCATCCACAAAGGTGTCATTGTGTTATTTGTTTTTTTCCAATCCCATTAAGTAGCTTCGGGTAAAATCTGCTGTGGCACCAAGGATTGTCCCCATATAATACTAAAAAAGTAATTATTTGTAAGTATCATTTTTAAATATTTGATTCAACAAAATTTTTTGAATAGAATAATAAGTCCATTTAAATATTTAAAAAAATATGCACCTTCCTTGAAATACAGCTCTTTTTAAATGCTGAAAGAGTACATCTTTTGTAGGTGGTAACCTTTCACTCTGTCGTGAATTTTTAGTGAACAGCATTTTTCAGCATATGGTGAGGTCAGTAGTGGAACTTATTTATCATAAAGTAGAATAACGTAGCGCTCAAACTTTAGAAATGTATCAGGTGAAATAACTCTAGTGCTTGGAGATGACAAGCTGAAAAATAAAATAAAACCACATATTGGACTAAATTTGCACAAAAAAAGCAGCCTATAGGAAAATGATTTTAGAAGTTAGCAGCAGAAGCTAGCAAATCTAAAATTACTGCCATTTTATACTATTTAAACATAGGTTAGCTAGGTAACCTGCAAAATGCACTAATAATTTCTTCATCTCCATTGTTCCAGAGATTCCATGCAAGTTTTTTCCTCGTCCTGCAAAGGATGACACGGTATCACAGCCAGTGAATGCAAACCACAATGAAACAGCTTCTGCTTTTTCACCTATCTTTTGTGCGTAATAGTGTATTGGAAGCCATCGTTTGAGTTTTCCAACTCCAAATTCTATCCAAAGTTGCTTGATACCCGTTAACTGTTTAAAAACGGAAATTGAGATCGCAACAACATTTGTGTCAACTGTTTGAATACAGACAACTTGGTGCCCTATGCAGGCCTTCTCAGGAGACGCGTGCGGTCGTTGAATGACCACGCATATATATTTTTTTGTTGATAACATAGCCACGATTTTTTTTTGCATTTATTAAAAATGACGCATCTTAAAAATGCGCTGAAAAAACAAAATTAATTGCTCATCTTTTTTTAATTATTATAACTCATTATTATAGTTATTAATGAGAAAATAAAAACATTAATATAACATATATGGGCAATTCCATTTTTAACTTAAGTTACATGTGCAACAACTTTACCAAATATTAGCTTATTTAAACTTTTAAATTAAACTTTTAGCAATTTTGTATGAAAGCTGTTAGTCTAATAAATAAAATAAGCTTAAAAGTTTTGAGTTCGACCAAAAGAGAGCAAACTTATTACTAAAAATGCCACTTGCACTTATGTTACACGGAAAACAAGGTAAAAAAACAAATTTAACTTATAGGTCTCATTTCTGCAAATCAGTAAAGCAGTTTGTTTTAGAAACTTTTACAAAATGTAGATAATTCTATACCAATTTAAAATTTTTATAAAACCTTTTTTAAAACAAACTTGTTTTTTTGAAACTGTATTTTTTACTTAAATTACAACACCTACATTACCGAGCGGTTATCGTGATTTTTTTTATCTATTATTAAGAGTTAGAGTTACATAACAAAAGAATTGCATAAGTATTAAACTCATTCATTAAAAATATTTAACAAAGAAATTTTTTAAAAACTGGTGGCACCCTTCCTGAGTGATTTTTCATAACATTCATGAAAGTTATCAAACCGGAAATAGTTTTTTCGCAAGACCAAGAGCAACTTCAGAAAAATATTTTAGTCTTAAACCTTTATTATTACTTAATTGAGTAATTGGTTTGTCGAAGTTTTTATTTACATTTTTTTACGTTTATGTGTATTGCTTTATTTTTTTAAGATTGAATTTTTATAATGCTGCTAAGTTAAATTTTTAAATACTTAAATCTTTTCTAAACATCTATATGTCAACCAAAATAATAGTACATAAACAGACATACAAAAAAAAATAAATAAATAAATAATTTTAATACATAAAAAAAAAAAAGTTTTTTTTTTAATTCTCCTTATATAAAAAGTTTCAGTTAAAACCTTGTCAAGCCAACAGGAAGAAATAATAATTACTTAATGATGTAATTCATTTAGTAAACAAAAACTTAACGAAAAATTGCCAGAATTTTATTAAACGCATGAAAACAAATAAAAATATATATATATTTATATATTATTTTTATCTTTTTATTTTATCATTAATTACAAATATATATATATATATATATATACATATATATATATATATATATATATATATATATATATATATATATATATATATATATATATATATATATATATATATATATATATATATATATATATGCATTATTGTTAGGTTTTTATTTTCTCATAAATAATTATAATAACAAATTATTATTATTAAAAAACCAATAAGATGACTATTTAGTTTGATTTTTTCAGCACGTTTTTAAAATGCATAGTTTTTAATAAATGCAAAAAAAATCATGGCCATGTTATCAACAAAAAAATATTTATGCGTGGTCATTCAATGTCTCTACTTGTACAAAGTTTATTGCAAACATTTTAAACAACTCATTTTTATTTTCATCCAATCGTAAGAACTGTGACCAGTTTTTCCAGATGGGAGTTGAATCAGAAACATTTACTCTTACACCATTCCCACGACTTTCCTTAGTCTGGGTTTTTAAACTACATTCAGCCGTTATCTCCTCTTATGATTTTGATGTTTTGTTCATGGGCCTCGTCAATAGCCATAGAT